TCGATCTACACATTTGACCAAAAAATTCCCCTTTGGTTTTACCAACATAAACCCTCTTAACTCTTTTCCAATTTCTAGTTTCGATGTCGAAATCTCAGCCACTCTGTAGTGTCATCTCCGCCGTTTTCTTTCACGGCGTAATTGCGACTCTAATCTCCAAGTTCAGGTAAATGCTAATCTCAAACCAATTCCGTTTTTTGAAGCAAACCCTAACCTTCTCGATTACGAACATAAACATCCATAATTTTGCCTCACAGCAACTCTCTTGACTTCTCTCTTCCTATTAGATTCAGAAACCCTAACCTTGTCTCTTTGTTTTAGCTTATCCGACTTCGTCGGTCAGGACAGCCTCCGGATCTCAAGAAGTAAGCTCTTTGTTTTCCTAATGTTTTGAGTTTCGAGTTCTGATTACATATCTTCGCTGTTTCTGTGTTTTATAATTTGTTGTCTAATTTGTTTCATTTGATGCAGGTACATGGATAATAAACTCCAAAGTAAGTTCGATATCTTCATCTACGTTTATCTATTGAGAAGTTTTTGTTTCATCTATAATCTTCTCTGTTATTTAATTTTATTGCAACTACTTCACATATCTTTGAAAGATAGAGAGGAGAACGATAATGTGTGTCTCTAGGCTTTTAATATGTTAATTGTTGGGATTTTGTATTCCATGAATCAAACTGGCTATCTTTGTTTGAAGAAACTCGTATTGTTTGCTTGGTAGAGTAGATATCTTTGTATTGTTTCATTTTAAGCAAGAGTGGTGTCTAGTTGGAGTTTTTTTATTAGACTATCACCTTGTTTTGTGCCTTCAGATTGATCTATTGGTATTTGAAAGGCAGTCAAGCTTAATGCTAACCGAATGGCTGTTGGAACTCCTTGTGGGTTTGACTAGTTCATGAATCATGTTGTCGATAACACTGTGGAGGTGAACGGTAACAATAAAACAGACATTGGAATGGTGGTAAGTCGCTTGATATTGTTTAAGAGAATCTTTTTGTTATCAATCATCTGTTGGTCTTTATTGGTATTTAATTATTCTCTTACTGTAATTGCGAGACTGCAAACACCACAAATATGTTTTTGCTTCTTCTTCTTCAGCCTCAAATCTCATTGCTCCTTCCCTGATCTGGATTGATCGATTTCTCACAATTGCTTACCGCTTGCAAAACTAAGCAAGAGCTTATGATAGAGATCGCTTCTCTCTATGGGATTCATTTGGGGTTTAATGTTTCTGCCTTAAAGTCTTTTCCTTTCTAGTTAAATCTTCTGTAAAACCTTGAACTTTTGACAATATTTCTGCAAAATATAGATCTATGGAGAGTCTTAAAGAATAAGTGGTCTCAAATTATTTTATAGAACACTAATTGATGTAGTAATCGAAAGTTTTTCATTCGGTCTCATTTCAATTTATAGGTTTACAATCTGGTAAGTTATGCAATTAACTCTTGTTATGCTATAAGATCTACTGAGATTTATAAATTAGTGCATTCGTGTATATTGGAATGATGGTGGAGGGGTTAAATTTATTATGAAGTTCTCTTGTTTGATGATCAAATCCCCATTTTTTTGTGTGGTTCTTATGAGTATGTTTTACTTTCAGTTTTGAGATAACTTGTGGCTGATTTAAGAGTAATTAAATAATTCTGTAAGTTGATTATTTTTTTCTGACCTTTAATGACTCTNTTGGATTATGTAGAGATGGCACTCGACTCAAATGCTCTATTGTTGATCCACAATTGTGGGCAATGTGTATGAAAAACCAGCGAAAATGCATAAATTCTATCATGAGGATAGTTTTTAGGTCGTACGGATTCTGATGGAGAGATAGTTTCTGTCAAATCCTTGAAAACTAAGTGAGTTTCTATTGGACTAATCGAAAAATAACCAAGTATGGTCATGGTTCCGGTGTTTATATCACCATCATTCTTATGTTAATGTAGCGAGGCTGTCTCCTCTGGTGACCCTCATGATGCTCTTAGTGATGTTAATCTGCAATTTAAATTGAATGATACAAGACATGCTTGGAAATGAGTTCTATGTGGTTGCTTACAAGGTATATTCACTTGGCTTTTGATGTTTTGGTACTATAGAGGGTTGAATTTTTATTTGTCAATACCTATTTTTCTGTTAAGGATGATTCGACATGGCTTGAGCTTTCTATCTCTTGGAGTTTGATAAGTGGGCAAAGAAATGAATATCAGCAGCCATAACACCAAGCTTGAGCTTTCTGTTAAGGATGATTCGACATTAGCACTTGTTGTGTATGATTAGCAAATGTGTTTATTTAACATTTNGTTTCNATTATAAATTTGTAAGACTTGTTATGTTTTTTCTTATGAAGTAATAACATATTTAAATATATATTGTTGGCGAATTTA